TGTTCGTTTTAAGAACACTTTCACTGCAGATTTGACAAAACGCAAAGGTACCAAGGTGAGATTTCTAAAGATAGGTACAGGACTCCACCCAAGATTTAATAATCTGAAGTGCCTTCCAAAATCTGATCGGGATGGGGTGTAGAGCATGCTTTCAGAAGTCTTAAAAGAGCAACACTCCGATGCAAAAACTACAGAACCCAAACCACCAAAAAAGAAAATCAGTCTTCTGCTGTGGCATCTGACTCAGATGATGAAAATGAACATGTGTTGATCTGCACTGTTTTGGATTGTTATCGAGCAGAACCCATCATCAGCATGGACTCATGTCCTCTGGAATGGTGGTTGAAGCATGAAGGGACATATGAATCTTTAGCACTTCTGGCATGCAAATATCTTGCAATGCCGGCTACAACAGTGCCATGTGAACGCCTGTTCTCACTTTCTGGTGACATTGTAAACAGGAAGTGGGCAGCATTATCTCCTGTAAATGTAAACAAACTTGTTTGTCTGAGCGATTGGCTGAAACAGGACGGAGTGGACTTGTAGGCTCTAAAGTTTTACATTGTTTTATATTTGAATGCAGTTATTTTTTGTACATAAATCCATATGTGTAAGTTAAACTTTTGTGATAAAGAGATTTCAATTCACTTAATACAAGTACTGTAGTGCAAACTATTTCTTTTATTTTTACAGTTCAAATATTTGTAATAAAAAATTAAATATAAAGTGAGCACTGTACACTTTGTATTTTGTGTTATAAATGAAATCAACATATTTGAAAATGTGGGAAAAAATCCTAAAATGTTTATATAAATAGTATTCTATTATTGTTTAACAGTGCAATTAATTTTTTTAATCTCTTGACAGCCCTAGTTGTAAGGACTCAAGGTCTTCAGACTCAAACACCTTTTAAGTGTCAGCCAACATTTTCCAGACAATTGCTGGAACTACATGAATACCTCCTCCCTGCTCACACCATTTAGTAAATAAATAAAGTTTTAGAGCACTCAGGCCTCAAATGCTAGAGCTAAGCCATACAGAACACATTTGAATTGTTTACCATCAAGCATTTGATCTGTAGTGGCTGCTGCATAAACATAAGAATCAACAAGAAAGTCTAGCAATCCTGCATCTCCCCAAATTTTCCCATGCAATAGAACAGCACAGGGTGTAAAAACCACCCAGGCAAATCACATTGTTACCCAGTTAATTTCAGGTTTCAGAGTAGCAGCCGTGTTAGTCTGTATCCGCAAAAAGAACAGGAGTACTTGTGGCACCTTAGAGACTAGCCCACGAAAGCTTATGCTCTAATAAATGTGTTAGTGTCTAAGGTGCCACAAGTACTCCTGTTCTTTTTGCAGTTAATTTCAGACACTCCATTTCACTTGTTGAGCTGTTGATCCGTGGTCTGAACAGCATGCTGGTCTCCTAGAGCTCCTGACATTTCCTTACATATCAGCACTGTATTATCAGCTCACCTAATCTGGCATCCCCAATAGGTGCATATGCAACTCCTGTGTAGGTGGTCTTCTTTGTTTCAAGCTTGTGGTTAAAACCAGTCCAAAATGGAATCACCTGAGTGTGAACAATAGCAACATCATTTGGTGTTGGTATGACATCATGAGGTAGTCTTAAAAGACACCAGGAGAGATCTTGGACAGCGTTCATTTGTAGGTGACAAGAGTTTATTTTCTAGAGTATTTTTTCATGTAGAGTCAGTTCTGGATGTGTTCTAGGTTTTTCAAATGCTGCACACTGTATAAGAGACTCTGATTGCCTGTGGAGATTGCCTGTGCTTTCCCACGCTTCAGTGATATTTCTTGTGACATTGAACTATCTGCAGGCTGTCCTTGAATTACCACTGTAACCATTGAATGGAACATATTCTTTCCATCAATGGTCTCTACATTGATGTCTATATTAGCATCTCCTTCATGGATGAGATTTCTGTCAGCATGAAGTGGTACAATTCCATTTGGAATGAATACGATTTTCTAATTCAGTTTTTGCAGCACTAGTGATGAACAGCCTCAGCTCATTATAACTGTTGCAGAATCCATGAAAGTGTAGAATGCCAATTAAATTGTGAGACCCAAGCTCACGGTGTAGCTGTGCAGCAAGGCTATTATGTGCAGTGGTATAATAATTTTGGAACTGTTAAATACTACGCACTCTGAAACAGAGAGCACCTTCTCTGAATGTTTTCTGAAGGGTGGTACTCATTTCTGGCTGAATTATATGCTGCTTTATTTATCAACCAATATACAAACTCTTGCACCACAAAGGAAACAAAAGTACTGACCTCTGTAAACTACAATCACCTGGCTTTGGATAAGATTTTGAGGCTTTATTTTGACTATTTCAGCTGAGGGACTGAAGCAACATTATACAAAACCACTTGTTCATCTGAAAGCTGTTCATCAGGCTCTCTCAACAGAACATCCAGAAAACATTTGGATGACTTACGTTCCTGCTTCAGATTACTAGCAGCTTGGATAGCATCAGATAATGTTATTGTGCTGCATGGAACAGTGATAGATTTGCCTTGTCCATGCTGTGAATGAAATGAACTTGCAGAACCATAGCGTTTTTCTAAGCTTGCCTATTATGTGCTACTGGAATAGCTTGCAGTTTCAACATCTGAGGGAAGTAGCATCTTGGACAGAGAAGAGCCCTCTTGTTATATATCATTCTCTCTCTCTTCAATCAGCTAATAAAATGCAATGTCATAAGGTGACTGTGTTATTGCAGTATAACTAGACAGTTTTTTAAGATTTGTTTTACTCAAGTAGGAAGAAAGGCATGTTGTTATAAACTGCCTTCTTAGCAATCAAGTCTTCCATAGATATTCCATGCAACATGTCATCATCTCTTCTTTAAAGTGCTGCTCCCCCTTAGGTTGATTGCTCTCTCAAATGTTTCTATTTTATGAAGTTTCTGTCCAGCACTGGTGACTTTTGACAGTTTTGCATTCTTTTAATTTTCTTGACAAATAACACATTTTTCAAAAAGAACAGGAGTACTTGTGGCACCTTAGAGACTAACAAATTTAACATTTTTCAAAGTTTTTGAAGATTTTTTTCTTTGATGTAAGCAGGGAGGAGGTATTCATGTAGTTCCACCAACTGTCATCTCTAAAAGTAACGTGGCCTGTACATACGTGTCACTGAATTAAAAAGCTAGTTTCTAGAATATTTCAAAGGCTAGTACTGCATGCGTCGGCAATTACAAATTAAAACCTTCTACCAGCAGACTAGATGCTACATTGTATGTACAAAAGTTTACAAATGGAGAGGCTTTACATTAGGAATTCACATACATTTACATCTATCCATTATGCAGCATCAACTATGGACATGCAATCTACTGGTGCACAATTTTCAGCACGAGTCTGATCTGGATAGCAAATTTTACTGAAAATATAGAACACTATTCTAATCATGTGTGAGATACTTTGACAATTAAGAATATCCGATGTGAAAACGTTTCATGTTAGTATATTGCAAAATGCTCATATTTGCTATTTTTGCTGCACGCTAAACAGCTGCATCATTTTTGAAAAAAATACTTGCCCATGCAAAACCAATAAAACTCTACACTGTCATTTGGTAGCTTTGACCAATATACGCCACAATTTGGTGTTGATATTAACTTAAACATTAAAAATGTAGTCAGAGTCATGTGGCAGTGTTTCTGGAACTGTGCAATAAATGACACTTTCTCATTTTGGATACCATTGTTTCACCTCGCCTACAGGCTTACGGCACCACTTGACAGCTCCACATCAGAGCTCATCTAAATGTACATATGTTTTAAAATGATATATGATGTGGGTAGTGTAGGGTGGGTACATTAAATTCCAAAAATATGGCCCTTTTCTGAGAATTGCTGCATGCCTATTTAGGCCACTTTTTGGATGGAAGCCTCTCCAACTGACCAGGAAGTGGAGTTGTAGATTTAGTAAGTGGTACTCTGATAATAGGCCACCTTAATTGATTAGTTTCGTTAGAGTTAGTATGGCAACACCCATTTTTTCATGTTCTCTGTGTATATATATCTTCCTACTTTTTTCCCCCACTGCATGCATCCGATGAAGTGGGTTTTAGCCCACGAAAGCTTATGCCCAAATACATTTGTTAGTCTCTAAGGTGCCACAAGTACTCCTCGTTCTTTTTGATGATACAGACTAACACGGCTACCACTCTGAAACCTCTTCCCTTTAAGTCCACAATGAATCAATGCCCATGTGGTAGGACATTGCTGTAATGCTGTTTTCAACGTAAGACGTAAAACTGAGCTCCTGACCAGTCGTGGCCCTAAAAGTGCCCTTAAGATTTTCTGAGGCTGTATTCTAATTTGGGTAATGATTTTCTGCCTATATAAATATCCCTGGTTGTTTCAACTACATATGATATTCTTCACTCCCTGCCTAAATAGTTTGGTAGCATTGCTATTCTATGTTAAAAAGCTGCCAGTTTCCACGTCTGCGATAGCTGCATTTTGGTGATGGGTGAGGCTAGTCCTCTCTCTATATATTTTTAAAATGCTTGATGCTCCTTTGAAATGTAAGGTATAAACATAAACTATTATTCTTCAGTGTTTTGGCCTGTGCAGTTTTAACTGTCTCAAGCAATGGCACTTCCATGTTCCATCAGTTCCCTTGGGATAGATCTCATCTTTAGGAACTACAGATTAAAGGGAAGCACTAGACTAGTCCACCAGGGTCACACCCGTTTGCCCCCTTGGCTGCTGGCCTCAGCAAAGTCTTAACTGAAACCCGTCCCCGCTGCCAGCCATCACAGGACTGCCGGGTTTGTGGGGGCAGCAGTCGGTGCGCCCTGCACTGCTCCCGCTGGCTGACTCAAACACATCCCTCGCTTCTCCTTTTCCCCTCCGAAGCAAAAGCCAACCGAGGTCATTTGCATTGTGCGAGTCGGGCATTGTTAGCCGCCTCCTCGGGCTCGCGCGGCCGGGGCGGGGTTCTTCGGCACGCGGGTGGGTTTCGGGCCCTTCCCCGGCGGGGAGCTGCCGGGCAGGGGCCAGGGAAGGTGGCTGCGCCCCGCGAGGTGCGGGGCCTGGCACGCCGCGGCGGCTCTAACTCCGCTCTCTCTTTCTCCCCATTCATCCTTCCCTGCCCCCTCCCCGTTGCAGGCGGAGCGGGCCCGGGAGGAGGCGGAGCAGGCGGCCGCACGTCCCCCGGCCGGCCGGCCGGCCCCCCCGCTATGGGTCGGAAGCGCTGCGTGGGGGGAGACGGCTCCAAGATGGCGGCGGGTTGCTGCGGGGTGAAGAAGCAGAAACTCTCCAGTTCCCCTCCCTCGGGCTCGGCCGGCCCGGGGGGCGGCGGCGGCAGCTCCCACTGCGGAGGGGCGGCGGCAGCGGGCGGCGAGCCGGGGGCGCTACCCCCGCCGGGGATCGCCCGCCTCAACGGCCTGGGGGGGCTGGCGGGGGGCGCCGCCGGCTGCGTCCTGTCCCGTCGCTGCCGCCCAACTGCGGCGGGGGCCCCGGCGGCCTCTCCCCCGCGGCCGCCTCGCTGCTCGCCTCCCCCGGGGCCGGCTCCGGCGGGCCCGGCTGCAGGAAGATGGTGGTGTCGGCCGAGATGTGCTGCTTCTGCTTCGATGTGCTCTACTGTCACCTGTACGGCTACCAGCCCCCGCGGAGCCCCCGCTTCACCAACGACCCCTAGTGAGTACCCGGCTCCGGCCCCTGACATACCCCCGCAGCGCCCCCCAGCGAGTGCCCGGCCCCGGCCCCTGACATGCCCCCCAGCGAGTGCCCGGCTCCGGCCCCCCGACGTACCCCCGCACGCGCCCCCTAGCGA